GCCATTTCCTAAGACACTGGGTTCTTCTTATGGGAAGCCACTGTTATAAAGTCCCAGCGGTTATTTCAGTCTGACACAGTAAAACACCGTTTCCCATAAAAAGTTTAAACCAACATTAGGTGATGTGGTGTGGTCCTGCTTCAATCACTGAAATGATGTCATTCAGATAATATTTCAAAATAAAAATGAAAGCCCGTCAAACTGACAGACTTGCTCTTATTTTCTTTTACGATGGTTGAAGAATCAAAGAGCCTGATGCTAACGGGATAGATGTGGTGGACCTTCCCTGACTTCTGACAGTGAGTCAGCGCCTTTTATTAACAAGCTAAAGCTAAGTAAATTATGAATCAATGCCCACAAAGCAGGAAAAAATGCCAGTTTCCCACTAAAAATCGCAAAGTGTAATCAACCTATTTCCGTTAAGAAAACTGCTGGAGTTTTTACTGGGGGATTTCCCAGGCAAACAGACGCAAAGATATATAAACCAAAGCGGAAGGTAAGCACATTTCCCCGTAGTGTTTTTGTGCTGGACACTACGGCACACACAGTGAATAGTTCAGGGCCGTTCCATGTCATCCCTCTCCACACAGCCTGTTCAGGAGGCAGAACCTTCACACACTTGCCCATTGCAGCTGGGCTGGCACAGGCATGGGGCACACACCCTGTAGGAAGAGCGGAGCAGCAAGGCAAAGCCAGCGAATGAACCGTCCACTTCATTCACCACCATCTCCCCCCTTCCTCTCCATTTCCCCTTCCCTGATTGGTTACATTATCAACCACTGTAATCATTTCACATCCTCTGGCTTCTAACCCCGAATCTATCAGCCAAGCCAAGGCTGCCTATCTTTATGTTAGCAGCAACAACTACTGAGTGTCTGGCTTCGTGCCATGTCATATGTTACGGGCTTTACCTTGCTTTGGTTCATTTACTCTTAACTCCCTATGAGGCGCAAACAGAGGCTCAGACAAGCTAAGGAACACCACATCACCTCTGCGGCGTTTCTGCCAAAAATGTTTACAATAAATCTGTTTGGTAAGAAACAATCATACAAATCCAAACTGTAAAACATTCTGCAAAAGAAATGTCCTGGGATCTTAAAAAACTGTCTATGTTATGAGAGACAATAATAATAATGATGATGATAATTATCATTATCTGGGGAACTTCATTAGATTCAAGAAGACCAAGAAGAAATGAGAATTGTAATCCTTGTTAGATTCTGAATCATAAAAAGAAAAAAAAAACACTCTGGCTATATAAAATATATTCCCACAATTGGGGAAATTTGAATACAGTATTGATTGTACATTACATTAGATATTAATACTATATCAATGTTAAGTGTGTGATTATGTAGGAGAATGTCCTTCTTAGGAGATCTCTCCTGAAGTAATTAGGGTTGAAGCTTAATGATATTTGCAATAATCTCTCAGATCATTTAGAAACAACAGGCAAACAAGTAAGGATCTCCCAAGTTAGAGAGGCAAAGACAAAAAGAGATAGCCAGAGAGAGAGGGTGACAAAATATTAACAATAGGTAAATATGGGTGTACAGCATATGAATGTTCATTGCACTATTCTTCCGGTTTTTTAATATGTTATAAACTTTCAAAAGAGAGAACTGAAAAAAATGAAACATTATAAAATAAAGTGTTGAAAAAACAACCAAGCCCGGCTGGAGTGGCTCAGTTGGTTGAGCATTGTCCCATGCACCAAAAGGTTACCAGTTCAATTCCTGGTCAGGGCACATACCTGTGCTGTGGGTTCAATACCCAGTGGGCTCGTCAGGGAGGTGGCCAATCAATGTTTCTCTCTCACATTGATGTTTCTCTCTCTCTCTTTATCTCTCTCTCTGTCTCTCTCCCTTCCTCTCTCTAAGCAAGTCTTCAGGTGAGGATTAAAAAATTTTTTTTAAATAAAAATATAAAAACAACCTAAGTATCTGGAGTATCTAAGGAACACATTCAAATAATTAGTAACTATTGAAGCTGGCATTCAGGTATCAGGATTTTTGGTTTGTTGCTGTTGTTTTTGACACCACTAAAATCTTTTTCTACATTTATTCTTTCAATGGCTGTGTACAAAAAGAAGATACATAGATTGCTTTTCTCATATTCTTGTAAAGAGTTGTGACTACCAATAAGATGAGCTAAGAAAAAAGAGATCTCATTGGATAGGTTCTTAGCTTCACCTGTGAAAATTAATAAACAGAAACATCATTTAAAATGGAATCAGGAGACTAGAAGAGAGAACTCTGATGCACATGTCACTTCACACATACTACTGACCCCTCCAGGGGAAAGGTACCTTGCACCTCTGACAGGAAGAAAAGATCCCTTCTAGCCCAGGAGCAGCTCAGCCAATGGGAGGCTGCCATCTCTCAAGCGATGAAAAGTCACTGTGTTTGGAACTGTCACGTTCCTCCAATGGACTCTTCATTTACAAGAGCCCCTCTGAAGTCCATAAGAGTATTCCTCTCCGAGGTTTCTCTGAGCTTGCACACCGTTTGCCATTAGACTGAATGTCCTGAAGTGCAGTTCTTTCTTGTTCTGGAATAAACCCACTCTGCTGCAGATATAGCTGTTGTCTATTTGTTTAAGGTCAACACTACCTTGTTGAGCATGATTCTCAGCCAGGCAGAAGCAATGAGATGATGGAAAGCCCTTGGCTAATATCATTCAAACCCACTGGAAATTAAATAAAAAGCTAAAATGAATACACTCATCTCAACATATACATCTGTTAACCGGAAAGATTGCCTGTCTCCACTGTCTATGAATTTAATGGATGGTTATCATTCACTCTGCTTTGCACGCGGATCCTGTGGGAGAAGACTAATCATTTGTATACACTTTAACGGCAGAATAAGTGTAATATAACTGTTAAAATAAGTCTAACAGCTTCTGGTCCATATTTCTAACTGCTCATTAGACACTTTAGCTATAAAATAAGTACATACAACTGTTAAAATAAGTCTGACATCTTCTGGTCCATATGTCTAACCGCTCATCAGACACATCCACACAGATCCTTTATAAGCACCTAAAACTCAAAACTTAAAGTCCTTTTATCATTAATCTTTCTTTCCCACTCTGCCCTCTACTCATCACCTTCTTTTCCTCCATTCTACCACCTTTATATTTTCAATTTCTGTTAATGACACAATTTTCCATCTTGGTGTCTAGGGGCAAGACTCAGGGATGAATTTTAACCTCTTCTCTTTACTCCACATATACATGAGTATTTAGCAATTCTGCCTTTTAAATAATAATTCCTGAACACATTCTCTATCCTTAAGGTTTGCCTCAGTCCGAGTCCTCATATTTCTCACAAGGACTCCAGCAATAACCTCCTTCTTGTTTCCCTACCCCCTGCCCCTGCTTCTAGTCTCAATTACTCCCATCTTGTCACGTGAATTCTTTCTCTATAACGATAATATGGTGGCTTTCTGTCCTAATAAAGAGCCAACAATGGTTCTTGTCTAACTTCATCAGCAATGTACACACAGGATGTCGCCTGAGCTACTGGAACCTCCCTCCGTGTGTGTACTTGCCCCTCCTCATCTCTCGCCTTCATTCCTCTTGCTGCCTTGGATGCTGTTCCTCATGTATTCATCTGGAAAAGCCTTAGTCTTCCTTCAATGCCTAGATTACTCAGTCTTTCTTTCCCTCCCTCCCTGAGGCAGAGATAAGGACAGCCTCTTGGAGCTCCTATGGCATTGCTCTGCTTTGTTTCCATGTCGACCTCACCACTCAATCCAGTCAGGGCAGGGCCATGGTCTAATAGTCTTTGCATCCCCAGCACCCAGCCCCATGTCCAACACATCGTCCTTAGTAAATGAACAAATGCACTACCCTAAATAAAGGAGTCGACCTACATTTTTTAAAATATGGTTTATTGGACTTAAAAACACATTTTTAAAAAGTCATAGATGCCCTGGCCAGTTTGGCTCAGCGGTTAGAGCATCGGCCTGCGGTCCAGAGAGACCCAGGTTTGGTTCCCGCTAAGGGCACGTACCTTGGTTAACAGTTTGTCCCTGGCCCTGGTTGGGCCGTGCAGGTGGCAACCACTCGATGTGTCCCTTTCACATCGATGATTCTCTCTCTCTCTCCCCCTCGCATTCTATCTGAACCAAAAATGAAAAAAATGTCCTCGGGTGAGGATAAAAATAAATAAATAAATAAAACAAATAAAGAAGTCATAGACCACATCAACAATGAAGAAAGCGCAGATTGTTGGTGAACTCCAAGGTCCAGTACTTATATTAATACTGCCAGTTCAGTCCAGCAGTCTGCCTACCAAATGCTTTGCTCTCAAGGATTGCACAGGGGTCCCCACAAGAACATTTCCCCCTGTGGATGTCTGAGTGGATGTCTGAGCGTGACCCCCGGGACAGTGCAAATGAAGCTAGATGACACGTGCAAAGGGCAAGGTGAGTGTGTGCTGTCCACGTCACCGGAGGATGAGGCAGTCGACATAGGGACCAAAGTGTCAAGATGTTAAGTTTTCTCCTGGAAATTATTTACGAGGGTGGTAACAATGCCAAGTATTCAGTGAACAGCAGCCCCTTCCCCATTGCTGGATAAAATCCTGTGCCCGTTCACGCCACACTCTCAGTCTAACACTGCCGATCAAGGTGCTGAAAGGTACCCTCTTACCTTTGGAAGGCATTTCAACCTGTAGGGACATTATCTTAAAATCGAGTCCCAGAAACAAGCTAAGAAAAGGTGGGAGAGACAGAGACATTCTGATGTGTTTTCCCAGCATAAGACAGTTCAGTTGGCTGCCAATATCTTCATTTTTTTTGCTCCCATGGAAAATAAAACAGATGAGAGATTTGATCCACGTGCTTTGTGTATGTACTTTTAAAATGTCACCTTTGGGTAACTCAACCCACCAATGGATTATTAATAAAATTCAGCAACTGTCAGAGCGCTGCTCCATGTGGAAGGAGGTTTGGCTGCAACACCTATTAGAGGAGAGAGACAGATGGCCTTACCTCTCGGCTCCCGCGTCCACAGCTGCGAGTGGAGGTAACTGGGAGGAGGGGGTGTGGGGGCTCCCCTGTACATTATGTCCCGGAGAAGGGTGACTGACAGGATGCGGGGGTGGCACGGCCCCAGCAGCTGTTCCGCTTCGGGTTGAATGATTGCTGGAGAAGATGGAAGCTGAAATCAAGGGAGAACAAGCATCAGACTGCGCCCCAAGTGAAGCCCGCGTTTTTTAAATACCAAAGGCTGACAGCGAGCATATTTTAGGGGCTTGTTTGTTTTTCTCTCGGATGGTTTTCAGGGAACAGTTCTCCCCTTATTGGATATACACAGCTTTTGTTTTCGCGGTGGAACAGGTTCCCCAGCTAACGTGCCTTTAGGGCTGCCTGAGGAGCTCACATCCGTCTGGCTCCAGGCTGACGTTCACGGTTTCCCAAAGCACTGCCCGGCCCCTCACCAGGCTGCGGTCTGGACACAGTGTAATCAGTCAACCTATAACGCCTGCATCTGGGCGAAGGTTTCTCCACTAGCTAGCTCCCTTCAGTCAGGAGGGGCGAGAGTCAGGTAGCAGAAGATTCCCTCTGCTGACCGAGAAGGGTGCGACACAGGCCTGCGTCCTCCTCTCATGCCACTGCGAGCGCGTGGGTCAGGCCGGGGTCTCTCTCTGTCACTGTTAAATCAGTGTAATGAGAGTGGAGCTTCCCCCGTCCCAGCACCAAGGCAGGACCCACACTCTTTTAACTTCAGAGTCTAACGGGCCCCAGGCATTTCCCCGCCGGTGTGATGGATGGCTGTTCTGGGTCTTCATCAAGGATGAGTCTTCTCCTAACACTGCAGAACATGAAAAGGGGGGTCTCGCGGGCGCCTCTGGGATAGTCCCCGTTATTGACTATTATGACAGAGAGTGAGTTACAGCCTCATTCGTGGGGGCAGCCTAGCCTTCGAGAACTGTATGTGACCTCGAATTTAAATATGTGCCCATTTAGATCGGCTAATTGGTACGATGTCACAGAAGAAACTGGGGCTTGTCACTTGCAGAGTCTATCACTATCAGAGAGGCTCTCGCAGTGTCTGGGACCTACTCAGCAGACATCTCATTATAGTGCAATCACACTGGCATCATTACGCTGACTCTCTTTAACTTCCTTCTCCGTACAAAGCTATGCTGAGCTTTACGCCCGTCCCTGCTCTTTGTGAACTTACTCTACCGATAACAAAGAATAAATGGATTAAAAAAAATAAATCAGGCTCAGGATTAAGAAAAAGAAGCCACATAATCAAAGAGATTTGAAGGTTTAAAAGTTCAGGGAGCTGTATTTTTAGACCAGCTCCATTTTTCTCCAACCCCTCCTGGATAGAATTAATACCCCAGATGACCCAGCCCCCCAAAGCTTAATCCAATGGAATAAGAGTTCAAGTACTTCAAGGAACATGTAAAAAGGCAGAATTACCATCTTCCCGCTTAAAAAGCTACTGGCAGGGGTGTGATCTGATTTGAAGGGTTTATTTCTGGTAAGTCAGCACTGTGTCAGGTTAACTCTTGTCCTCAGAAGCCTGCATCCTCCGCAGCCCTCCACGTCCTCAAGAGGTGGTGTGACTAGAAAATGCTTACCAGCTCAAAAAGGCAATGCGGAGCGTCTGCTGTGTGTCAGCCTCCAGAAAAGTTGCACGTTTGCAAACTCGCTGGAGTCACCTTATGAATCACTGCCCTCATTTATGCTCAGCTCGCTCAGGCAGCCACAATTCTGCTTGTATTCCAAATAATAATTTTACCCCAGAGAGAAGGCTGCTTGGATTCACTGTGGCAATAGTTTTAGGACTGGTGTTTGTCAGCATGGAGCTCGGTGTTTTATATACTATTCCAAAAACTAATGGAATAATAAGAGGTCACAGAGACACTGTGGGAACACAGCTAATTTTTTCCCCCTGCCTTAGTATAGTAATGTGAGCACTCCTGTTTGTTTTGTTGTAGCTGCTGAGTGCACCCATCACTCACTATCCCCTGGAGGTATCTCTGTATGTATGTGTGTGTTTATCACAAGGGGAGGACTGCCCCTGCTGTTTGTGACCCCATGGGCAACAGGGGAACTGGGTGTGCACACTTCATGTTCTACTCGGTGGTTCACTAGAAAATGTGCTGCTTCCCAGAGGTCTAATTAGCTATATTAGCTACATTTTTGCATTAGCTGCAATGAAAATGGCTGGGAAATTTGTTTTATTCTTGCAGCTTGCTGAACACTGAAAGCTAGGCCTGGTTAAGGACCTCTCCTTCATCCCATTTAATGGCCAGGACCAACCATCCACTATTCATCTATCCATCCATCCCTCCACCTCCAAACATTATTTTACTTATTTAAAGCCTCACCAAGGATATGTTTTTATTGAGTTAGAGAGAAAGAGAGATAGAGAGAGAGAGATATATAGAGATAGAGATAGAGATAGAGAGAGAGAGAGAGACTCACACTTGCCTATAATGTCCTCTAACTCTGTCTCCTTATTTTAATAGTTTTGCTGTATGTGTAGTTACTTGTGTTCTTTTCATTCTTCTTTTAACAGCCAATTATTCTGCAGATGTTTATGAGGTACCTACTGTGTAGCACACTGAGCTAGGTCCTGGAACAAGAAACCTGTGGTGCCTAGTGTCTCCAACAGCATCATTCACGCCAGTGTGTTGAGCAAGCAAAGACAAAGATAATCAAACGCCAGCCAATGCAGTCCATCTTGGGATTCAGTGAGTAGGACATGGACAAAAGGAACAGTCACCCACCAGCTCCTATTCCCCACCAGTCAAGGGTTGCCCCTGGGTGCACTTCCCTCACACTTCCAGGTAGGCACATGAGCCACAGTGGCTAAAGTTTCTCAGAGATGCTCTACACCCAGGCATCAGAGAAGTTGGAGGGCAGAAAGCCAGAGGTACATGGTGCAGTTGAGGAGAGGAGCTACAAGTAGTACTGGTGCAGATAGTTGCCATAGCAACAGAACAGGTGGACTAGATGGTGGAAAGGGTGTAAGGGGAGACATAAGACGTGTCTGGTACAGGGCAAAGGCTTAGAAACATGCCCTCCAACTGTGCTGCGGTCAATGCCGACTGACCAACAAGCTCTTCCATCCACTGCTATAGCCAGTGAGTGGCGCTGGTACAAGCAGTGGCCCTTTGAACTGGGGCCCATGAGAATAAGACAGAGAAGGCTTTAGGGTACCATACTGAACAGTTTCTTACACAGGGCATAAGAAATGATGTCTTGGCAAAATGAGGCCCATGACTTGTTTCTATTTTCTAAAAGATGGGCTGAGAGGTCTAAGACACACTCGTGAGAAAACAGAGTCGAAGCTGACAATGCAGTGTCTACACAGAGCAGTCTGTATGCACAGTCCGGGGCAACACTGACTGTGGATGTTCCCTGTGACCAACCTAATGACCAGAGATTTAGAGGAAGTGACAGGAGACACAGCATGTCCTTCTTACGCATAGCCCACCTTCATTTCGTATACCTTTCCAATAAAATGGACAAAATTCTAGAGCCAGAGAGCTGTAGCTTCAGGAGGATTTCCTTTGGCCTCTCCCGAAGAGCCATGTTCCTTAGAAGTTTTCACTATGGCACAGGAAACTCCTCTCCTACCAACACCGACCCCTAGGAATCTCCTACTATATCACAGTCACGCATCCAGGATTCCAACTCACTTAGTGCAGTCTAAGAATATCCTTTCATTCATTCACTCACTCACTCATTCATTCATTCAAACACAATTTTCAATTTTCCAGCCCCGACTCTGTACCAAGCAGGTGCTCATCTCTCTTAAGGCTGCAGTCTGAACACCTGCTGACTGTATCTAGACCTGCTCACCACAACACATGCTTCCAGAGAAATGCTCTGGCTTTGCTACATGATTTTTTTTAACCCCAGGAAGAAAGTTATGTTAGTGGGCAATTCTAAGGTCATTCACAGAAGGAAACATTTCCTTCCATACACACTCAAAATGATTTTCCAAACTCAACCAACGGGGCATAGGAGGCCTACTGATCCAAACATAAGGAAGAAAGCGGACTCCTCCAGAATCCAGGGCAATATTAACGGAACTCTTATGATCAAATCAACCGGCGCACACAGGCTGCCACAGGGGCGGCTTTATTGTCTTGTGTCACCTCAGGGGTCAGCACTACTTTCAGGGCTGGAAGAGGGCTTTGAGGTGACCCTCCAGTCGGGGCTGATGACTGGCAGCCGGAACAACTGATTAGGCACAGCAGAGGAACATATTGGAAATTCTTATTGCTTCTGTGATTAAGAGATGGTGGACTCCCCAAGGAAATAAAAGCCTGGTCTTGAGATGAATGCATGAGCCCTGCCTCTAGCAGAGGGCCAGGAGCTAGCCTCCCTGCCGCTCTGGGCTTTCTCTCTCTCTGGGGCCTGGCTTACTGCCGTCCCTCACCCTGCCTCCTGGAGAGGTAGGTGGAGGTGACTCAGTGGGGCTTTATAATGTTGACAAAGCAGCATCTGTTGATCTATGTGGTACCCAGATACCACCTCTCTGGTTATGGGGACCAGGGTATTCTAGGCTGGCGCCTTTAACTAGCTCAGGATAATCTGGGTCCATAGGCAGCTCTATCCAAATGAAAACAATTAATCTCTATTTCTAATGAGTACAGACAGGGAGCCCGTGGGGACACGTCAGCTGTCGCATATTCACTGTGTGAGTGGAGGGAAGAAAGGAGTGTTAGTTGCTTCTCAACATGAAGTCTACTTCTCTCAGGCCCGTGCCCAGAGCCAGGGAAGGCTACCACAGACATTGCCCAGTGACCATGCTTTTCATCATGTAGGGGCAGGGAAGATGTCCCTTGCCGGGCTGAGATAGATTAAAAACAGCCAGTTGGAGGGCCTATTGCTGCTGAAAACTGTCTGGGCAGCCAGAGTCCTGATTCTTGAGCTTTACTGTGCAAACAGAGCCCCAGGGTAAAACACTGATTCTGTTCACTAGGTCTCAGAGGCAGGGAGTGCTGAGTTCTGAACGCCTCTCACACCGCCCAAGTTCCTGGTGATGTTGAGGCTGCCCATCCAGCGGCTGCACTCTGAGCAGAATGTTCTGGGCCACCCCTGAGCTGCATTTCTCCTCCTTGCTGCCCCAAACCTCAGAATCAATAGTCAACACCCACTGAATACTTTGCAGACCTTTCCCCGGTT